TAAGACGGCCTCCCCATTCGTTCGGCCCAGAAGAGGCCTAAGAGGCCTAAGGCGGCCACACGCATCGAAAACCTTATATTTGAAATGTCTCGGGCCTCCTCGTCTTGACAGCGCAGAACGGCCCTAATATTGATTGTGCCGTGTGCTACTCCTGAGTTTCATTTACAAGAAAACTTTATCAGCTACGCAGCTGGACTCGGCGCGTGTGATAAGAGCGAACGTGGCATGCACGTACTACTGTTGCTTAGCGACTTGGTAGCTGAGCGGTATCGTGGGAGCTGACCGGCATCTCCTCATCTATCCATAAAAGCTTTGCCCCCATGCCGCCGGCCCCCCTCACTTGGAATGGGACTTGCCAGAGCTGTGTTGGTATGTCTGGACGCTGACGTGAAGCAATGTCGGGACTTCACGCGAGGGCCAATATCAATTTACAAGGGTTTATGGCTTCGGTGGCTCCAGCATTAAATAATTGACGGGGGGCGATGGCCTCGGGGACGCGAATATTGATTCATTTACGAGGATTCATGGCCTCGGGTACGCAAATATCGTGTAATTTACAACTGTTGATGGTTTCGGGAACGCAAATATGGCGTAATCTATGAGGGGGTGTGGCTTCGGGGACGCGACTATTGCATAATTGTCAAAAGGCTTATGGCTTCGGGGGCGCGAGTATCATTTAAGTTGCGAAGGCTTATGGCTTCGGGGGCGTGAGCATCACCTAATTTATGATGTGGTATGGCTTCCGGGACGCGAGCATTGCACAATTTACAATGGATTGTGGCTTCGGGTGCGCGACTATTCCGTAATTTACAAGGCGGCTATGGTTCCGGAGCGCGAATATTGCGTAACTTACAAAGGTTTGTGGCTCCAGGGACGCGAATACTAAATAATTTGCACCAGATTGTGGCTTCGTGGACGCGAAGATCCCATAGATTACAAGGGTTGATGGCCTCGGGGGCGCAAATATGATGTAATCTACTAGGGATTATGGCCTCGGGCACGCGATTGTCATTATTTTTACGTGTCCCACGACCCCCCCGGAAATCAAACAACGTGGTTCGGGGACGCTAGCCAGGACGCTTTTCGGCTTCCCCCCCTCGCGCGTTCAGCAACAATTAACAGTAAGGAAGCAGGAAGCAGGATTGTAACAGTGGAACCTGGAAACCGCAACTGGAACAGGGAGCTGCAATCCTCACCGTCGCAGCTTGGTGGCCCCGCAAGGGGGCCGGCGGACTTTGCCGGGCAAATTTGTATGCGAAGTCTTCGCTTGAACGGTTCAGCGTTGCCGTCATGGTTGGCCTTGGTTAGGCCCGACCGGATCCTGAAATTTGCCATCATGTCGAAGGTCCAATCGATTGCCTGTCTGGGCCGGCCCACTCGAACTCCGCCGCCAGTCGGAGCGTGTTGAGAGCGTCCTGGCGCGCTCCCTCCACAGTGCTTTGTCGCGAAGAGATTTGTCGTCTCGGATGTCTTGTTGTGCCATGATTCGCTATGTTTGCCGTGCCATGTAGCGATCAACATTGCTCTCTTAGATAATGAGCTGTACCACGCGCGTGCGCTGCAATCCTCACTTTTGCATGCGAGTGCGATCTCGTGGACGGTAGTCCACTGGTCAGCCCTAGTCTCTACTACATTGCAGGGCCCAGTGCGTGCCAGAATGGCGCAGGCCCCAATGCACCGAAACCGCCCCGGGCTGGCCCCGGGCCGCCCAGGGAGGCCCCAAGACACGTCCAGAGGGCCCCAAAAATCCCCCAAGACGGCCCCGGAGAGCCCCGGCACGCTTAAAGATGCGCCCAAGACGTCCGAGATTCGCCCCAGGAGGCCCTCGAGGCGTCCAAGACGCCCGAAGAGGCCTCCCAAGAGGCCTCTCAAGAGGGCCCCGAGCGACAGAAATCGTCGATTTCTATTGTGTTTTTCGATGTTTTCGGCCTCCTCGCCTCGTCGGCTTCCCGACGCTCCAAGACGGCCCAAGAAGCCCCCCCGACCGCTCCAAGACGGCCGAAGAGGACCCCAAGAGAGCCCCAAGACGGGCCAGGAGGGCCCCCAGACGGTCCCAAGACGCCCCAGGACGGCCCCAGGACGGCCCAGGAGGCGCCCAAGACGGCCCAAGAGGCACCCAAGACGACCCCAGGAGCGGCCCAAGACGGCCCACGACAGCCCAAGAGGCGCCGAGGCGGGTCTCAGACGGCCCCAAAACGGCCCAAGAGGCACCCAAGACGGCCCGAGAGGGCCCTAAGAGCCCCCCCGGGAGGCCCAAACGAAGGCCGAAGAGGCTCCGAAACGGCCCCCGGGCCAAGATGGCAAGAGAGTCCCAGCTGGCAAAAATCGTTAATTTTCCATTGTCTACTGTTACACCCTTTGCGTTTCCCGCCGTTTCGGCGGTCCGATGCACCAAGAGGCCCCAGAAAGTCCCAGGAGGGTCCGAGGAACCGCCCAGGAAGGCCCCAAGACGGGCCAAGACGGACCCAGCACAACCCAAGGCGCGCTGCGACGGCTCAAGACGGCTCCAAGACAGCCCCAAGAGGGTGCCAACACGGCCCCTGCTGGGCCCAGGACGGCCCAAGGAGGCGCACAGGAGGGGCCCAAGACGACTCCAAGGCGGCCTCCTCACGGTCCCAGACGGCTCCAAGACAGCCCCACGAGGACCCCGATGGGCCCAGGACGGCCTACGGACGCGCCCATGAGGGGCCCACGACGAACCAAGACGGCCCCATCAGGGCAAACGGCGCCCTCAAGACGGGCCTAGACGGCTCCAAGACGGCCCTTTGAGGGAGCCAACGCGGCCCCACACCCTTCGGGCGCACACTTGGGGGGGCTGGGAGCTTGCGACAAGTCTCCCACATTCATTGTCCTGCCCCATTCTGTTCGCCTGGAGGCCTCCTCCAACCCTGTGGGCGAACAAGAGGAATCCCAGCGGGACGCCAACCCTGGGGCCCGTGGGCCCCGCGCCGCTTGGGCAGAAGACGAACGCCGGGTCTGACAGGCCAGCTACCGCCCCCCTTTGCCCGATATGCTGTGCCATTCTGTTCCCCCAGGGGCCTTGGCAAACTCTTCGGGCCAAGCAGACCGGACCCCTGGGACAGCAGCCAATTGATATGACCCTGGGACCTCTCCGCATTCTTCGGACGAGCATCTGGGGGGCCCAGGAGATTCGGACATGTCTTCCCCATTCCTTGCCCTGTCCCGTTCTGTTCGCCCGAAGGCCTCCACAGACCCTCTGGGCGAACAGAATGGGACATGGCGAACAAACCCTCCCGTTGGCGGTGATGCGACTGGATCGCACCATCAAGGCGCGCCCGGAGGTGATGGCCGACCCAACAGCGGTTTCTCTTAAGAGTTCACTGGATTTCAAATTTTCTTGAAGCTCTCTTGGGCCCTCCCTGTAGATCCTTGCGAGCCTCCCCGGCGCTTTCGGTGGCTTTCCCCGATGGCCTCCCGAGCCCTTCCCCGAGCGCTCCTGAGACGCCTCAGATGGGCTTCGACTTCGACGCACATCCCCGAGAGACTTCGAAACTGTCCTCAATAGGAGGGGGGTGAACGAGCAGTGCGCTGGGCCAAGCTGCTGCAGCGCTGCAAGAGCTCGGACACGAAGGCGCGGTCTCGCTGCCGCCGCCCGAGCCGCCGCCGTGTTTGTAGATTTTCGGTACAATCTGCGCCGTTCCTCCGAGAACCATTCCAGAAAGATGTCGTGGACGGAGTCCACGGGTCAGCCCTAGTCAGTTACAGCGCTGGGATCAGTGCGTGCGAGAAGGGCGAGCAGTGGCAGCAAGCACTGGCGCTTCTCAGCGAGATGCGGGAGGCGAAGCTGGAGTCCGACGTCATCTGTACTACAAATCTGGTCGCGGCGCGCGCGAGAAGGAACATCTGCGGCAGCGCCCCGGGCCGCCCAGAGAGCTTGCGAGCCGCCCAGAGAGCCTCTGGGGCGCTCCTCGACGGCTTTAGGAGGAGAATGAGCGTTCGCCGACAGCTCCAGGACCCCCAGATCGCCCCAAGACGGCCTCACAGACGCCCACGATGGCCGAAGCCGACCCGACCAGAGCCCCCTGACGGTCCCAAAAGGCATCAGAGACGGCCCCCGAGGACCGCCTGGACGGCGCCAAGGGGCAAAACTTGGGCGGTTTCCGAAGGTGTCGAGGGTGTTCCTGTTGTTGCCACTTCCCAGTAAGCGTGGCCCCCGAACGTCACCCTCACGCGTAGCCCCCAGGCGCCCCCAAACGTGGCCCCCACACACAGCCCCCAACCATTGCCCTCAAACGTGACCGTCACATGTGCCTCCGAAGGTCGCCCCTGCCGCCCCAGGGACGCCCGAGCCGTTCAACTTCGACGAGCTGGTCACCTACGGTGTGCGAGTCCCAGGCTCAGCATGCCGTGGGTTTAGTCAACAGGTTCACACTGGTCAGCTACAGTGATGGGATCAGCGCGTGCGAGACAGGTGAGCAGTGGCAGCGGGCGCTGACGCTGCTGAGCGACATGTGGAAGGCGGAGGCGGAGCCCAACGTCATCAGCTACAACGCTGGGATTAGCGCGTGCGAGAAAAAGGCATGCAATGGCAGCGTGCTGTGTCGCTTCTCAGCGAGATGCGGGAGGCGAAGCTGGTGCCCACCGTCATCAGCTACAGTGCTGGGATTAGCGCGTGCGAGAAAGGACCGCAATGGCAGGGTTCGCTTTCGCTGCTCAGCCAGATCTAGGAGGCGAAGCTGGTGTCCAACGCCATCAGCCTCAGTGCTGGAACTATGGTTTGCGATAGAAGCGGGCAAGGGCAACGGGCGATTTGGCTGCTCAAGGAGACATATGATGCGAAGCTTGATTCCAATACCGCTAGCTTTAATGATACAATCATCATTGCGATGCGCGGGTAAATGCAGAGCAGGCTGAATTGCCATGTTGGGGTCAACAAGGGCGGGGAAGACAGCTAGCCGCAGCATGCTTCAGGAAGGTGGGTGACATCGAAGGTGCAGCTAAAGTCATCAACGAGAGCGCTAGCACGAGCGCGAGCGAGAATGGCAGAATATGGCAGCCGGCTCTGTTGCTGCTCAGCGAGGAGGGGACGCGAGGTTGGAGCCGACATCACCGGCTACAACTCTGGAGTCGGAGCGTGCGAGAAGGCCAAGCGAGTTCACCACGTCCAGGTCGTCCTTGGGAGGGTGCGGTCGAGAAAACTCCATCTGGGCCTCACCAGTGGCCAACGACTTGTGGCCAGCCTGTGCGAGCAGGGCCGGCACTGGAAAGAGGTGCTGACATTCTCCGTCGAGGTCGAGGTGCGATATCTAATTCCGGCGGGATGGCGCGGGCGGTGCGTGCGCCGAGTGCCGGATGCAGCCACGGGCCTCTGCACGTGTCGGCGGCAGACGGCTCTCACAGGGAGGCCAGAGGCAGCGCGCGGCAGCGCGCGGCAGCGACCCGCCACCGAGCAGCAGCAGGCACCAACGGTGCTGTCAACCCGCATGGTCAGGATGGGCAAGCTTTCCAAGGGTACCATTGCATCCTTGCCTCCTCAGTCCAGCCATTGCCATTTTCGTTGGCCGTATCACCAGTACAGTCGGGGCCCTGAAGAAGGAACCCTTTTCGTTGGGGAGGGGCTCCGTGTTCCTTAAGTGTTTCGCAGCTTGCCTCAGGCTTTCCTTTTGTTTTCGACCGGAAATCGAAGGTTATCTTATGGAAAAAAGGGGCTTCGTTCCTTATTCAGGGTTCCTTAGGTCAAGGCCCCGACTGTAATGGCACGAAGCGTACGGCGGCAAGCTGTCAGGGCTCCAGCCTAGCGAACTCGAGTGCAGTTCTTCATGCGAGCAGGTAAGCAGACAAGCGATCTTTGCTGCTGCATGCGGAAGATCAGCCTTCGTGGCCACTGCCTTCCTTGAGGTTCGGCCAGCGGTGGGTGGCCGGCACTCCCCTGCGTCGCTTGCGCTGTGGGCCCACCTGGGTCCGGGGTGCCAGGTCACCAGACGGTGCTAGGACCGTTCCCAAGCAGGCCGCGGCGCCCGAGACATCCTCCAGAGCTGCCAGACCTCAGAGATTTTCGATTGATCTCCGCACCTGGTGTTAAACTCGTCCTGGTTTCGTCTGGGATCAGACCACCGAGTGCGGCCCCCAAGAAGGATGATTTGCAGTTGCCCCCAGGGACTCGGTGAGGGTCCCCAGAGGGTGCTGTGCCGCACGGTAATAATAGCTCGGCCTCAGGACGCCGATCCACGCCACGAGCTCCACCTCGTTTGGGCCGCCCCCAGCCGAGGAGACGCTCTCGGAGGTTCGGCTCGAGGGTTCCTGACTCGACGGCTCCTGGCTCGAGTCGTCCGTGGGAGTGGCCGTCATGCATTTTCCACGACGCGGCGGATCTTCGACCGTTCGTGGAGCCAGTGCGGGCGCCAGGGCGGGCCTGGGATGTCGAGGGGGATCCTGCCGCGGCGACGAGACCTTGCCGGGGGGCCGGGAATACAAAAGTGCCAAAGGGCCTCGGACCCCCCGAAGTTCGACCCCAGACCCCCGCCGTTGCATGATTTTGTTCACGACCCAGGCCCCCAGAGGTCCGAACCCCTTCCCTGGGACCGGCTTCTCATCCCGAGTCGTTTTTGATTGTCCTGGGGCCCGGGTAAGGGCCCCTGGAAGCCGAAAATAAGTAGCGAGAACCCCCCCCCTCCCCCGCCGTGATTTTTTGTCACCGCGCGAAGGAGCCTGGGACCCTCGAAGGTTAGTTCCCCTATCGTGGCGAAGCGAGAGCGCCGGGCGATTTGCCCGCGGGTCGACAACGAGGAGGAGGAGGAGGAGAAGGTGGGAGAAAATGCCATGGATGGTTGAGAGAATTGTTGTAGGTCATAGCACGTCTAGTTAACATAGAACAGGTCAACAATATATACATTCAGGTAGGATATCAAGCTATTACACTCAGCCATGCATATAACATGTACATACGTATTACATAACTTAACAAGTTAAGGTCGAAGTGTGTGGTCGCTCGTTGTTTTTTTGCTCTGGGGCCAGGATTGTTTTTGGTGCCGTTGTCTGAGATTGTTGCGTAGTCCCTGTTTTCTCGGTGCATACAGTGGATGATACCGCTGTTCGCTGTTGAGGCGCGGCAAAAATTACGAATTGTCCTCCTCCTCTTCCTTCTCCTCCTTCTCCATCATGGTCTCCTTCTTCGGCGGGTTATCCGCCTTCCTTTTCATCGTGTTTCTCCCCCGCCTCCTCTGTTTTGCATGTTTCGGCGGATCAACTGCCTTCCTCTTCCTTTCTCCCGCTCTTCTCGGCGGATCAAACGCCCCATTCAGCGGATCAGCCGTCATCCCCCCGCCCGCCCCGTTGCGGATCAACCGCGCCCCCCCCGTCGGATCAGTCGCATTCCCCCCTCTACTCGGCGGTCGACCGCATCGCCATCATCCTCTTCGGCAAATTAACCGCCCGGTCCGACTTCGGCGGATCACCCGCCTCTTTCCCCGCAGCCTTTTTGTTTCAGCTTCTTCGGCCTAGGCTGCCGCGGGGAGGCGGCGCGTCTTTCGCAGTGCCTGCCCGACCATGCCGCTCCAGCAGGAACTCCTTCAGCGCGCGGACGGAGCGGGGCCATGTATTGCGCGCTGCCTTGGCCAAGGGAGAGGCCGCGTGGAGGCAGGCGTCGAGTGCGCAGGCTGTTCGGCTGGTCGAGCTCGTCGGACAGGTGCGCCCGCAGGGCCAGTTGCTCGTTCGCTCCGCGGGGCTGGCGCGGCTGAGCGGTTTCGCGCCTGCCGACGCCCAGCTGTTGCAGGACGCCTTGGCCACGGTAGCCACGAGCAGCGTCGGCGGGCCGTGGGAAGTCGCAGGACTGCGGGCGTTTGCCGTACTTTTTGGGTGATGAAGTGTGGGCCGTGCTCAATGCGCCCAGTGGGGGCGCGTTGCACAAGGCTCGCGCCGTTCTCTCGTTCCTCTCGTCGAAGTTGGGCCCCGGGAGCCGGTCAGGAGGCACCATCGCGCACTTGGCGGCCGTTGTGGCGACCTGTGTAGAAGGTCCCCCCAGGGCCCGCCATGGGCGCTGGCTTCTTGGAGGATGTCTTTGGCCATATCAAGACGATCTAGACTGGCACGGTCGAGGCAGAGCCCTCGGAGAAGGTGTCCGCGCTCCGCGCTGATCCCAACGCCGTCCGAGCTGCGTTCCCCGCCGCGTGGTTTGCTGCGCGCGGCGACGGCGCCCCCGCGAATATCGGAGTTTCTTTCGTCGACGTCTCTGTCACGGCTAAGTCGTTCAATCAGCGGAGGAAAACCGTTTGGGAGGGGCTCGCCCTCGCCCCCGTCGCTCGCAGCGGGCGCGACGCAGGCCCTGCGGGCCATGATAGGGGCAGGCGCATCCTCAGCAAAAGAGGCTCGCGACCGGTGCGACGTCGACGTTCAGCGCGCAGCGGCCCCGCAGCCTCGCTGGCGCGCAGGCGGCGGCGGCGGCCACAGTGCAGCTCGCGATGGCGGACTTCCAGCAACAGCAGCTGCATCATTAGGAACGGCAGAACCACAACCTGCAAATGCAGGCCAAGCAGCTCGAGGAGCAGCTGCAACATCAGCAGCAGCAGCAGCGGCAGCCGCAGCCGCAGACTCAGCCCCAACAGTCCGCCCTCGAGGGCGCCCGCTCGGCGGGCGCTTCATCGGGAGGGGGGGGGGGGGGGGGGGCGCGAAGGCGAAGGAAGATGAGGCGACGCGCTCGGCGATGCACGCGGCAATGCAGGTGCAAGCGGCCGCGCAGCAGGAGAAGGAGAGCAATGCCAAGGCGAAGGCTCAGTCCACAGACGAGGCCAACGCCGCGCTCACGAAGTGCGCGAAGAAGCCAGCGTCGGCCCCTGCTGGCAAGGCCGCGGTGGTGACCAGAATCAGCGTCGAGGGCGCGCGCAGCCAGTGCGTTGCGCACAACCGATGTGTTCATGCGGGGCCCGAACACAGGCCACGCGAAGGTGGCGCGCAAGAAGGCCGCCGAGACATGGACCGACAATCGGTTATTGATCGAGAACTGGGGGGGGGGGGCCTGCGCGCAGCCGTCGGCGTGATTGCAGACGTGCGCGTCGATTCGGCCATGCCGGCGGGAGGCCTTCGGCGTGAGCATTTTGCCGTGGCGCGGGTAGTGCCACGGATGGTATCGATGTTGAGGTTGTTTCTTTTTCTGGCGCGCGTTGCACGCGCTCGTGATAGAGCCCGTTCTCAAGGGCGACCTTCGGCGACCTCTGCGGGTTTCTCTGCGAGCCAGTGCCGCGTGAGAAATGGCGTTGCGAACGAAGCGGATCAACCGCTATTGCGGCAATGCGTCAGCGGATCATCCGCCGTGCAAGCACATTGCGCCATGCCATTTTTCGTCGTTTGAGGCAGACGGCCAGGGAGGTTCGAGCACGAGTCGGAGGGGTGGGGCGCGCAGGGGTCGGAGGGAGGCGAACGAGGAGGGGTCGGAGACAGGGGGGCTATATAGTTCGAGGCGGACTGGCCCCCCCTCCACAATTTTCCAATATGAATGCTACTTTCCCTCCTCCCCTGATGACGGCCTGGGCGTGTCCGACCCCCTTTCCCGCGTATTATTTTTTTGCGCGCAGGTTTCCCCGGAGTTGGGTTTTCGCTTGCATTTTTCCAAAATGCTGCTCTCGTTGAGGCGCCGGCTTCATCTTCGGGCCCCGCTCGTTCCGAATCGTGCTCCCGCTGCAGCGCTGGCGTCATTTCCGTGCTTCCGCTCGTTTCGAATCGCGCCCCCGCTGCAGCGTTGGCCTTATCTCCGCGCTTCCGCTCGTTTCGACTCGTGCTCCCGCTGCAGCGCTGGCCTTATTTCCCGTGCCATGCCACGGCGCGCAGTGCAATGCTAGGTTGATACTACGCTTTGCGGCGCTCTTCTACGCCATGCCACGCCGTGCTCTACAATGCATCGCGTACCCTTTCGGGATCGTTGCCCTCCTCGACATCCGACAGCGCAAGTAGAGAGGGGATCTGCGCCGCGGTAAGGGATGGGAGGGGGGGGGGGGGGGGGGGGGGGGGGGGGGGGGGTCGGATGTCAGATATGACGCGAGCGCACCTAGCTTGTCCTTCCCCCCCCCCCACTTTCCCCCCTCCCTTCACTCGCGCGCAACCCATGCGCGGCGCGTGGATCACACGCGCGTCTACCCGCAGCCGCGCGCATGCACGCGCTCGCACACGCACCCACAACATGCATCATATAGCGCTAGTGCACGCCTGGCGCGTTCACTGCGTCATGCACCAAAGCCGCGCACGCATCATGCACATGCACATGCACGCCATACACAAACACACACGTTTAGGATGCGCAGGGCGCGGCAGGCGTGGCACCATCTCGCCACTAGACGTGGCGCGCAGGGGGCGGCTCCTCAGCGCGGTCTCTATACGCGCAAATGTCGCAGGGCAGGCGCGACGCTTTCTCGACGCCGGAGGGGGTGCGCAGGCGGTCGTCCCATCGGCGCGGTCTCCACGCGCGCCAATATTGCAGGGCCTAGCAGGCGTGGCGCCCCTTCGACACCAGAGGGGGCGCGCGGGGGGCGGTCCCTCAGCGCGGTCTCTATACGCGCCGAAGTCGCAGACCCTAGCAGGCGCGGCACTTT